AAAAGTTAGATTCTCTCACAAATTTTGGGGGCACAGAGAGTACTTTGAATTACATGTACAATACTTTCACTTTGAGAATGAGGCACTGTTACTTCGAAAATATAACACCCATTTATTCAAAGTAGAGGTCCCCATGATGCAACAACTTCACAGATAGCTTCTCACCGAGAACTCAATGCTTTAGGAGATATACATGTTATATCTAATACAAGGCGGGACTTCCATCAAGACTTCCACCATGAGTTGGAGGTAGCAAGTTTCAAACAAAGCCGTCTCTCCTGTCGCTAAGGTATGACAAACCCTGCAATGACGAAAACTCATGCAATGGACTAGCCCTTTTATATTCCATAATATTCTTGAGACTGGTTTTAACTGAGAAGCACCTCTAGACATGTTGGAGTGGGAGAGGTTCAATGAGTAGAGACAGGACTTGATCCCGAGTTCCGCGGTCTTGAACACCAAATCCATCTCCATTTTGGTAGATGAAATTCACCACTCGGGCAGTGTTTGTAATGTACTTTAAAAATGGTTTTAGTGACTCAGCTTTTGGAACACATTCATTATTTATTTTCTTCCATGCAGATACAGAAAATGGTATTAGCTTGCTTGGTTTGCCATACAGAAAATAGAAAATTATTTTAAGAGAAATTATAAAAGACGATATTCTGAAAGCATGCCTTTTTATAGTTGAGTTTTTGAAAAGCAATTTTCAAAAACTGTCAAATATAGATTTTTGTACAGTTTTCAAATTTTCAGTTTTAAGAAAACTAGGGTTGTTGATTTATTGTAATCAATATTCGTCTGTAGATACTGACATATCTACTGCATTAGTGAAGCACTCTAGTTCTTCCAATGAACCATAGACATCACATCATCAATAACTTGTAAGCAAATAATAGTCAAACAATAATTAAATAATATTAATCATTGATCATATATGTAAGAAAGGTTATACCTTTAGAATAAACAGTCACACACACACACACACACACACACATATATATATATATGTAATCAAGAGGTGTGTTTGTCGATGGAACCAACATGTCTGTTTGTAAAGGGTGTGTTGGTTGATGGAATCAACATATCTTTTACTCTCACAACGATTATGGAATGGTTCCAGCCCTCTATAAATATGCGATAGAAAGGTTTGAAATCCATCATTCAGTATCGCAGTAAAAGTAGAGAGTTGAAGAATGTTTCCGCACTAGTGTTCTCTTCAAACATAGTTTCTATATCGGGTATGTCTTCCTCTATTAAATTTATGTATTGGAGTCATGAATCCTATTTGGAATGTAATTGCTTACATGTGGTATCAGAGCTTACATAGACTCTACTTCATAAATTTAATCTATTTCAAACAAAAAAATATTGTGATTTATGTATAATATATGTTTGAGATGATGAAGGATACTATATTTAGTTATTAAGAAATTATATATATTTACTTATATAGTTTCTCTTATATAGTTTATGTGAAAGACTTTTTCTGTATCATGTAAGTAAACCAATTATTTCATTGCCCCTTATATATATACACACAATTGGATAAATTATTGAAAAGTAGTATAGAAAAGTGATAATCAAATTATTGCCACCAGATTGGAACAAGGTTACGTATATGTGGGTAAACTTACACTACATATGTGGTTACTTTGTCTCTTATACGTGTACATATATATTTGTTGTAAATGAAACATGCTTGCAATTAATATCACCATGTACATCATGTTATACTAGCAATTTGGTTTGGGTGTCAATACATGTAACATTAGACCGTAATGTTACACAGTAATGTGTGAATGTGACATTTTCTTTGGGTATCCATACCCCATTAGACAGCAAAATAAATCTCAATCATTCATGTATCGGTTTTAATATTTCAGTTGTGGGGGGCTATCCCTCCATAATATCCTGAGTCACGACCGTTTATGACTGTTCTAAATGAAACAGTACCCCCATACAACGTAACGTGAATGTCATTTTGTGTCATATTCAAATCTCTATTAGAGTGTCACAGTTGTTTTAAAAATGTATTGGACAACAACGTGAATGTCATTAATATTTATGGTACAATAATATTTTTTGGTGTTCTTGGCACACCAACGCTTTGGTTACTGGTGTTTATATCCGCTAAAATGAATATTTCTCATTCGTTAATATTTCATAGGTTGTCTGTTAATCACATGCAGAGTCGTGTATGATTGTTTAAGACAGTTGTAGGCTGTTAATCATATTCAACGTACCATTGCATGCTTCATGTTTGGGTTACAAATATTCTCAAAAGTCATAACTTTTGGAGTTCAAATTACTAGTCATGTCTTTTGGATTTGATCCAACACACGTATCTTTTGGATTTGAACCAACACACGTATCTTTTGGATTTGAACCAACAGTCTTTTTGGATTTGAACCAACAGAAATATCTCTACACCTACAGATGCTACGTAGGCTTTGTAGTCTATACACTAAGAGTTATGCGTCTGGTATTATAGAGGTGTTTTGTTATAAACTAAATTGTCTTGCTATAAACTCAATTGGAGTGTGCATGACAACAACAACATGCAGTTAATATACTGATTGTGAAGGATTATATGTTTCAACGTACCGTTACATGTTTTAGTTTGGGTTACTAACGTTGATTCGTTATATATATACACATGTATATCATGTCTTTTGAGTCGCAATTAATAGTCATGTCTTTTGGGATTAAACCAACATGCATGTCTTTTGAATTTAAACCAATAGTTATATCTCTCCACCCAGAGTCATGTGTTGCATGCACCCTCATTTACTCTATCAATAAGGGTCGCTAATTTAATATTTATAACATGTGTAAATTTTGAAAATTTTGGATCTTATTTTGTCGCTTAAATATTAATTTTCATAAATATGTCACTTTTCTTAAGTTATCATCACTGGTTGAATATTTTATATATTTGATAATATACATGGCATAATTAATGATTAATTTAAAGTTTCATAGCATATAAGTTTATGAAATTATACATGTTATTGAAATTATATACATAATTATGCATATGTCTCATGTTATAAATTGTTGCGTAATATGTATATGGTATTTTGATTCATTCGGGAAAATTGAATCATTTTGCAATCTTAAGCACAAGTGTCGTTAAGTTTGATCGAGTGTTTTGTCACCAAAGTGGCATATTCATGAAAAATTTAATGATATTTGTAATTAGTGACAAAATTATTATTTTGTTAAAGTTAAAGGATTGTGTTGGCATTTAGTAAAGACAAGATTTGATCAAGCCCAAAGGTGGGTCATTGAGTTTGTCCAACTAAGCGGATTGAGGTAATTAGTATAGAAGACACAATGATGACTCACTACGCCCGAAGGAGTATAAGTTGTTATTGTGTTTTCTATGATTAATTAGCTTCAAAGGTGAAAGTCATATTACCAATGAGAGACTAATATATGATAATTTTGGTCCAAAGGAAAGATAATTATATGTTATGTTGATCTCATTCAGAGTGAATTATTTTGAGGCATTATTTAATTAACTCTGGAAAGTTTAGTTGACCTTCCCATCAATTAAACTGTAAATGTGCAACCTTAGTTATTCTCAAAGTCAGTACGAGTAAAATTCATCTTTAGTGTTAAATGTGGATGACAGTGACATTATTGTACACGAGATTAAACAATTTAACTTCTCAAACATTTGAGATGAAGGTGTTGGTGAAGCCTTCTTATTGGCATTAAGTTTCACCTAAATAAATCTCGGGAAATTTTGAATTGCCACATTTAAAAAACCTACTTTGATAAAGTTCTGAAAGTATTTGACATATAACACTATAGAGATAGAATTGTACCCATTGTAAAAGTTGAGAAATTTGATAATCTAATTACCAAGAAAATATCTATAGTAGTATTAGGTAAAAGACATTTTCTACGCCTTTGGGAACCTAATGTATGCTCAGGTTTTGCATATGGTTAATTATAATATAACATTTGCTAGTTAAGCAAATATCACAATGATCTTGGTTTGGATTTATAGTACGCGACAAAGAAATTTATAAGGTATCTGCAAATAATTAAGAACCATATCTTTCTAGGAGTGGTGAAAACTGACTTTGCTGGTTGTCAGAACAGTATACAAATTCACTTCAAGTATTGTTTTACCATTATGATAAGTGATAGAAGTGGAGTTTATTTGCATATTATAAGGCCACATTTCATGCTTTATAAAATATCAGTTTTGGACTTTAGGTCAATACCGCTACAGTCTTGTATTAAAGAAACAACAAGAGTTCAAGTTGGTCTAAATTATAACCGTTAATACCTTGTTGTGAACTAGAGGATACAGAACTAGTTAATGTCTGATTGAGCACATTGATACCCAACAAAAAATTGTTGATCCCATAACTAAGGGTTTGCCGCTACTGTTGTATAGTAAGCATACAAATTTCTCTTTGACAATATTAATTTACTTAGTTAGTGGGAGGTTGTATTTGGCTTAGGTAAAGACAATTTTATTTTGTAATCACAGTTATTATCCTCATTTACTAGATTTTCCATATTAGTGCACATATGTGGAAAATTTGTGACTTAAGTATCCTGTTTTGAGACATAGTGTGTCCTTATTGAGCCACGGTAGGACCGATGCATGGCATGAATATTGTATTGAATAGATACACATGCAATATATACGTGACGTTGGAGTTGAGTTTGTTAGTATCAGTGACCATTGGTGTCTTATATCATTGATGATATAATGATGTCCATGATCCCATATTAGTAGACTCGAAGGTATTCCAAACTGAATGATAGAGGTGTTTTTTTTATAAATATATGGATTAACTTTTGTAGTACACTTAATGATTATTTTGATCTTGAAATGATTAGAATTAATTATTGTTAGACTAAGTGGGAGAATATAAGCGAATAATAGTCAAACAATAATTAAATAATATTAATCACTGACCATATATGTAAGAAAGGTTCCACCTTTAGAATAAATAGTCACATATATATATGTGTGTGTGTGTAATCAAGAGGTGTGTTTGTTGATGGAACCAACATGTCTATTTGTAAAAAGTGTGTTGGTTGATGGAATCAACATATCTTTTACTCTCACAACGATTATGGAACGGTCCCAGCCCTCTATAAATATGCGATAGAAAGGTTTGAAATCCATCATTTAATATTGCAGTAAAGGTAAAAAGTTGAAGAATGTTTCCGCTCTAGTGTTCTCTTCAAACATAGTTTTTATATCGGGTATGTCTTTCTCTATTAAATTTATGTATTGGAGCCATGAATCCTATTTGAAATGTAATTGCTTACATAACTATGATAAAAGTAATGGCTTTGGTTAACCATTTTCTAAAATTTCCAAACTGAGCTTCGAAAGCAACTCCCACTGCCCATTGATAACTTTCAACCACTCGGTCCCTAGTAAACTTCAGATTTTCTGCCAGACCAAGATTCTTCCACCACCTGAATGAAATATTAATATCAAGATATTAATCTCTTACTTTTGTTTTTGTTTTTGTTTTGTGCGTGTATGTGTGTTTGTGGTTGTGTGCAGTTGTACCGGATAATTACATGCATGTGAGGTTCTTTTGTCATTACCTAGCTGTCACGCCAAGATTTTTTTGGTGTATGGCTTGAACCATGTTGAAGTTAAATTTTGCCAATTCAAGTAAAATGGGGTTTGTGTTATCCTCTTTCTCAAGCGCAATTATCTGCCTCCTCAAGTTGTACCACTGCACTCTCCAGTTCAATGGAAGCTCTACTGCATGGCTCAATTTTGTGATAACTTCACTAGATAAAGCATTAGCATCATCCAATATGTTTTCACCTTCGAAGCCTAGATTCGTGGCGTCAAAAAGCTCGAGCATTGCTTTAACATCAAATTGCGCATGTGTTCCTTTCATGAATGTACCCTTGTCGTCCATGAAGCCTCTTATCATATCTGAGTTTCAAAACATGTGCTTTAATGTTATATACTTACTTAGGAAGATTCTAAGAGATATATCTTTACTGTGAAGTGTAAATTAAGAAGTGAATTCATTTTGTTCACCTTGAGAAACGCTGTAGCCATGTTGCCTAAGGAGCCTAAAGCACAGTGCAGAAGCATAGAGGTTGTCTTCTACACCACAACTATTGTTCTTCATGGATGCTATGGTGTCTAGGGCTTCCTTGATTTCCTTCTCAAATAGGTAAGACAGACCAAGTTTTTCGATTCTGTCTATTAGCTCCAACGTAGCCACTTGGTCCAGTGCTTCCACAAACATGATCTTGACTTCCTCTTTCTGCTTCTCCATGTGTGTACCATATTTTTCATCCTTCAATAACAAAGAAAATTGTTATTATCTTATGATCGAAGTTCATTTAATCAATTAATTAACTACGTTCTTAAAACCAACCCACATGCTCGGGCATGAGGAAAGAGTTCCAAGAGCTAGCATTCACCTTGCACGAAAATAATGTCAAAAAGTTATGCTTGTCTCCAGTCTGGTCCTTAAACAGTGGCATCTTATCGAATTGCTTGAGACGTACTCGTACAACACTATTGGAAACGTTTATAATAATGAAAGTTATACAAATAATTTTTTTTCCCCATTAAATGTACAAATAAATGTTATATATATATATATATAGATATAGATATATGATAACATCCAAGAATTAAGTTGGCAATCTCAGAGTGTATTGACTCTTGAGAGACCGAAGGAGTTCATATTCCAAATGTTTGGCTTGTAGTTTGCGGATCGCCTTTCGGAGCTTTGATGTGCCCTGAAGTCTTCAGCCTGGCACTGAACCACTTGGTCATCACCAGCCACTGCTACATTTGTGCAATCCATGATATGTTTTAGCAGCGGTGAGAGACTATGCCTTGACACATGCATTGGTCATGTTTATATAGACAAAGGTCATATTGGGCTGGGCTTGTACAATAGGACCTATTACTATATTATCCTTTAGGCTCTGTTTTTTAAGCTTTATTTGCCTCTTGCCTTTTTCGGAATCCTGGGCCTGTCCTCCCCAGGCCCACTAAACAACTGACTCATGAGTAAAGCCTCTTCTCCTTGATGAGAAGAATTGATCACCACCACCTCTCCCATATGCTGTCTAAAATTGTCTTTATTTGCACAATTTGAAAAGTGTAAAATTTTTATTTTTATTTTTTCACTCTATCTAAATAATAATAATAATAATAATAATATTTTCAAGTTTAAAATTATATATTGTTCATTCATGAATGTTCATAACTTCTATTTCATCTTCTTCAGAAACGAAGAAAAAAGAAACCCAGGAGTGTATTGATCGACAAACTCATTGCTACAAAGGTTTGACGGTTGGTCGGTAACTTTTAGTATAGGTAGCATCAAGATATTTTATGTTTAATGAATGTGGTCATGATGTACATGGAGTCAGATTCAAAAAAATTACACCATTGGTGTGCCTTTCATGATCAATTCAAGAAACAAGAAGTTTGTGGTTCTCAAACAAGCAGCGCATGCTCATTGTCCCCTAGTACTCAGGTGGTGGGGTTCGATCGAGGTGTTCTATGTGGCGGGAAATAAACCCCTCAAAATTTAGCTACCCTCAAAATATTTTTTGAAAATGACAAAAAATTATTACTCCGTAGTATCAAATCACGGACATGACAGTTACATAAAAATACAAAAATCTTAACAATCTGATTTTGACTTGACTTTAAATAGAATTCTTAGTATAAAATCGCCGGTCACATACGTGGATTCAAATTGAAAAAAAAAAATAATTTATTTATTTATTTTTTTAATTGGTACTCACACATACATGTTTCTTATGAGATTTGAATTTTTGACATCTCTTTAGGAAGTAATAGGCTGATACCGTTAGACCACTGGCCCGTTAATTTTTTTTATTTATTCAATGTGCAAACAACCTATGACAGTCTTGGACATGAGAATGAGGAATTCACACAATTACCCTCTTCGTTTTCAAAGAATTCTGGAGTAGTTCATACTAAAAATGTCATAACTATCTCTGTGAATGGAATTTTTGCGTGAAATTAATTTCATTAGGAAGCTGACTTAAAATCCTTGAAGTTAGACTCAAATTTGACCTAATTTAAAGTTAAAATGAGTGAGATATAATCATTTGAAGTCGGAGATTAAAAGCTGTCTCAGTTTTCATTTTAGCAGACACTACATGCCATTCCGGTCGACCGAAATGACCCATCGGTCGATCGAAATGACACTCCAATCGACCGATTGTGGCTCTGGAGTGTCCGAAGCTATTGGTTTCAATTCCAAATGACACCGGTCGACCGAAATGGCTTACCGGTCGATCGAAATGGCCCAAAAATACGATTTTCTCATTGTTTAAAGGCCTGAACAACTTGGCATCACATGGTTAGAATTTGAAACTTTTGATATGATGAAATCCTTATCCCAAACAACCATAAACATGCTTAAGTTGATAAGATAACATTCATATATCATAATGAGATTGAATTACATCATTATATATCAAGATAAATCCAATTACATTGAACATGGATACATGGACTTCAAATTATAAACTTCCTAACTACGTATAAGCATGTGAAGGCATCCCATCCACTTCGCCGCTCCTAAAACCCTGAAAATGTTTAAGATAGGAGGGTTGAGCACTACCGCTCAGTAGAGGATACCTAAATGGTGTTTCCTCAAGTTAAGTAAGCATGACACATAACACAAAAGAGAATAATAAGATAAGTGAACATTAACACATTTTCCATCATTCTACACAATTACAATCTGAATAATGACTTTACTTTAGCAACAATTTAACAAGAAGTCCTCTTTAACAACTAAGCAACACATTGATAACTTTGATTTCAATTTAAACAATAACTTAACAAGCAATAATCATAGATGAAACCTATAATCCATTTCAACCAATTTATGTAAAAATTCAGCATGCTTATAAGGGAAACACAATAATCACTTACGAGGACTTAGGACTATACAATTTAGACAACCCCAACCTCAAAGAAACTAGCCAAACTAAACAAGCCTTAAGGCCTCAAAATTTTCAAAATCCTTAACCCCTTGTAATATTGGTCTTAAATGAAAGTCCTCTTCATGGTCTGCAATTTTCCTTTCATGATTATTACCAAAATCATAGTTTAAACCTCTTAAAAATGGCTTAGAAGCAATATGTAATATAGATACATATGGATATAGAGAGAGAAATTAAAACTTTAGAGTGAGAGAGAGATTCGGCCGCAGTGGAGGAAGAGGAAAAAGATGTGTTGGTCAACATATGACTTGTGGTCCATGGCATGCCACTTGTTAAACTGTGTGTGATTGTAACTTTTTGGTTAGTTACTCTTTTACCCATTTACATTCATTTCAATACCAATAAGGTTCCTAAAATATCTCCCACCAAAATAGATACACAAATATATACATATGCATGTGAAATGACTACAATACCCCTCACCTAAAACGAGAAAACCAGAAGAAGTTCCCGAACCCAAAAATTGTCTTGACTTCCGAAAATTCGAAAAATAGTCCCGTCGCCTTTAAATGACTTAAAATAAATAAAAAATATGTTAGGAAACGTGCAAGTTTTAAAAACTTTTTAAGGGATTTTTATATATAGATCTTGATTCATTACATAGAGACAAATTTTATATAAAAATAAAATATGATTTATCATTCAATTAACAGATTGAATACTTACATCAAATGTTTGAGTAAACCTTTAAATCTTTCATCTAAAGTGAATGTTCTCACTTATTATAGATCCTTTAGTAAGATCCTTTCTCCTTCTTATTGATAGTAATCTTCCTTTTAGGAATCACCAATATACCTCAATAAATGACCTTTGAGGCAAGGCTTGTGGTAGCCTCATTTAGAAGAGAAAGCAAACCCTAAAACTAGAGAGAGAAAATATATTTTTTTGTTTTTTTCCAAAAGTCTACTTTAAAATCTACATGGACCCATGTATATATAGGCAATATAAAGATAAGAAAAGGAAACAATAAATTCTTCTCAATCTCTAATTCACATATCTCAATTCTAATAGGACTCCAATATCAACTTGGGCTAGGGGTGAGAATCCTTTGGGCTTGCTATTTTCTTAGCTACTATAAATAATTGGTTTGGTCCATTAAACCATGAACCCAATTCAATTAATTCATAAATTAATTTCTATTCCACTAAAAGAAATTAATTGTACTCCAATTAAATAGTAAATAACTTCTAAGTCAATGTTGCACTTTGACCCCTCTATGCATAATTATTTATCGGATTATAAATCCATCAATCTGACAACATAATTAATATAATTATTTTGTTACCTTTGATTATTTCCGGCTTGATCACAATAAAAGTTTGTTTGACAAAAAAATAATAATTTACGAAATAAATATATAGAAAACATTTTTGCTTAAAACATATGAAAGCCTTCGAATTTAATTTGTAATCAACCAAAATTAATACAAAAGAAATAGAAGTAACAGTGATACAAATATTGATAATATAACTTTCTAACTATTAACTATGGATCCCGAAGTATCCGCAGAACAAATCAAAGTAATTATTAATTAATAAAATAGTCTATACTTCTCTCATGCTTGAGAGTCAAAAATCATGACTGTTATGGAGAGCAATTGCATATGACGGCTCTCGCAATATATCTCAAACTATCATGAACTCGGTTCAAGTCTTAGTTAATTAAATGTTCATCCATAATTACTAACTATGAACAATTTATAATTACTATTTATATTCATGTATCGATCGACATCACATACATATATAAATATCTCTTGTAATTAAGTGAACACTATTAATTCCATAATGAATCGAAATATAATACATTGAATTCATCAATTGTATAAAATATAAATATTTAAGATATGTTAGAAACATATGTCACTTTAATCCAAATAAAAATTTACTATACCGGGCATATAAATCCCAACATCACCATATATCAGGTCTCAAATTAGAGAAACTGCAGTTACCAGTGCACCAATAACAAGTGATCACAACTACAATCCGCAATCCACAACATCAACTTTCACAAGTGGAAGTAACATTACTCTCTTCTTGTGTTCTTTTAGGACCAGTATTATATGAATCAAAAAGGTTCATTAGACTAAGGAATACAAGTGGATGACAATAAGTGTTTACTGGATCTCATCCTAGATATGCTTACTGATTATTTCCCTCTATTTGCATTTGAGCTTTTTTGGGTTTGAAAAAAATAAAAAGAAAAAGAAAAAAAAAAAAAAGTTCAAACTACTCAAGCTAAGTATTTGAAGCAAAACAGAGCCACAAAACTAACAAGATGACCAATTTTTTGCTTGTTGAATTATGTCCTGGATTAGCATTGTGATGTTGAGCTGAGATGATCCCCCTTCTTCTATTGCCCTGTTTGCCATCTCCCCAAGCTCTTTTGCTTTTTTCCTTCTCTCTTCCCCTTCTTTTCCTTCACCAATTACTCTCTCCACACCCTTCCTAATTTCCTCCCTCTTCACCAACACTCCACACTTGTGTTCTTCACCCACGTGCACAACAGCCTTAGCCCCAACACTAACACCAATCTCCAATACCTCTACAACAAACTTCTCATTCAAGAACTGCTCTCCAAAGAAGGGCCATGTTATCATTGGCACGCCGCTGCATACTCCTTCCAGCGTCGAATTCCAACCACAGTGTGTCAAGAATGCGCCAATGGCAGGATGTGACAAGATCAATACTTGTGGAGCCCAACCTCGGATCAAAAGGCCCCTCCCTTTTGTTCTCTCCTCAAACCCTTCTTTCATCCACTTCTCTAGCTCTTTCGTTCTATCCCCTCCTCTTATCACCCAAATAAAGGGACAGTTGGATGCTTCCAAGGCTAAACCGAGCTCTACTAGCTGTGGAGCTGCAACATTAGTTAGGCTTCCGAGACATGCATAAACTACAGAGCTCGGCTTCCATTTGTCCAGCCACTTCAAGCACTGGCTCTCATCGATTGAGGCCTTGTTTCCTCTCTGAGCCTTATCCAACTCCTGTGTGTTGCATAATGACAATGGCCCAATACACCATACCTTATTCACCTTCCGATACTCACTAACATATCTTGCTTCCAACTCCTCAAAACTATTAACCACCACTCCAAGTGCTCCCGTTTCGGCTTCTCTTATTCGTTTCCGAATATCGTTTATATTAAATGCGCCTGGATTGAATTGTCCGGGCAGCTGTGCTCTAGTGAACTCGATATGATCAGGCAAACCGGGCACGACAAACAGATCATGAGACCCAGGGACACCCTCATGAGCCTTGGAAATGTGTAAATTGTGTGTACACAAGAGAGTGAAGCAACTCATCCCATCGAAACTAATCCGTGGTATCCCAAACTTTTTAGCTGTATCAGCTGCCCAGACAAGATGCTTATCGGCTATTATGCAACTCGGTCTGGGCTGCAACTCTTCAAACACTTGTTCTAGAGGTTGCTGCAACATTTCAAGCGCCTCGAAGAAATTCTTAAACAAGTTTTGAGAGGGGACTGTATCCATGCTCTCACATCCCTCCGGCAAGCCGGCCTCCGCGGATGGAAACCGAAGTTGGAGAACCCGGATGGGGAGCCCGGATTCGATTGCGCGATCGGTGATGGCATTGAACCTGATAGCATTGAGGGGTGTGGTGACAATGGTGACAACAATGCCTCGTTGGGCTAATAACTTAGCCATGTCTACCATGGGAATAAGGTGGCCTTGGGCCATTAAGGGTATCAAAACAAAGTGAAGATGGTGTGGTTGTGAAGCCATTGCAAAAGGGTTGGTTGTGAATGAAGAGGGTTTCTGTTTATACCAAATTTAGCAGAAGGGAGTGACGTAAGAGCATACATGAGCAGAGTGTTTTTTATTCAAAGAAAGTGAGGTTTGGGTAATTGTCTCTTTAGAATTTTTGTAGAAATGACATGCCTTTAAATGTATAGGGAAGCTTTACACGTCTCTCTTTCGTTGGCATTCGATAAATCCAAATTATGTTAAAACATTTTAATACTCTTTTAGGCTCATCGCAATTTATTTAATACTAATAATAACAATAATTAATGTTGTAGAAGTTTGTTTACTGCTTTTCTTAGTCAGACACATGTGATTCGAGTCAACTACGAGTAATTGCGTGATGTCAATTGGTTCAAAAATTTATAGTCCACAGCTCTTTTCCACTTCACTATTTAAGGGATATATTCTGAGCATAAAAGAACTATAATTTATTGTATGTTTTATAAGAGTTTTATTTGTATAGTTATGGTACTAGATAGAGGATATATTTAGGTTAGAGTGAAATGTTTTTTGGCTCATCAATCTATGAATCACAATAGGCTCCGTTTCAGAAATTTTGTGTATGTGGTTAGTGGGTATGCTAAAACTGAAAATCAAAGAGAATGAGAAGTGGGACTCCAACCGGCCTTTTCAATTAAAAATCTCAACCTTGAAATTTTGACGTCTCGAGACAATGCTCCTTAGAGCTTCAACGTGTCAGTGTGTGCGTCATTTTTGCATTTCTTGTGATATTTTTGGCCTTGTCTATTTTAATCCCTCCAGCACCAGATACCAGTGACATAAATATGCATCTTCTCCTCTCATAAAAAAAAAATATATATATATATATATACTAATTAACTTCCATTATTGAAAACTATAAGTGAATGTACAACAATATTCGCTTCTGTCGAAAGTACAGATCCAATAGACCAATTACACGCCGATCACAACTTCAATTTACAACAATAATCGTTACAGCTTTAGGCTCACAGCATCAGTTTACGAAAATAAAAACCTAGATTCTAGAATAGATTCTTCAAACACAAGTTTGAAGCAACCTAGAATCTAGATTAGATACTCTAACCTAATTTACAAAGCTGATGTTGTGAGCCTAGATTAGATTAGTCAACACGATCAAGCCCAGCAGATCTCCATGACAGAGAATTGGTGGATTTTAGTAGCAGGCCCAGGGCTGAAAAGCAAGTTGCTCTGACAATTGCTTCCGGAGAGCGACTCATCTTTCCCACCAAAATACCAAACAACTAAAGAGAAAACAAGTTATTTTATTTTAATGCATTTGCTTTGGCAATAAATAAACACATATAACCGACATTGCGTGCATCTGAGCAAGACCTGATTACAATAAAGAACAGAGATCCGTTGATCATCTGAGAGAGAGAGCAAGCTACTGGAGAAGTAAATCGCATTTGCTTGAATAACTGGCCAAGGAGCATCAAAAGCCTGCATTATTATAAACACAACCAAACTCAGTTTTCATGTTTATTATCAAAATCCAATTTTTTTGAACATAACCTAGAAAACACTGAATTTTTCTTCCCTTCTTCTACATTGTGAAATTTGAACCTATAGTTTGCAAGATAAAGGTGAGTTGGAAGAATAGATGTAATAATGTGTAAATCAGGGACAGTTCAATGATGAAATTCTGATCGTTACGGCTAAACTCGTTGGCTCCACATCCACCAAAAAGTCAGTAAACTTGGTCACTGTCAGCATTTGGTGCTCTCTTGATAGGTTTGGCATAATAAACTTCAAGCCCCCCAAGCAAGACAAAATAAAATGATAAAGGTTGGCTGCGGGAACTGACGTTTTCGATGATTCTGAGGCCAATGCAGCACGTTACCAGGAACCGCAAGGTTGCAAGGGATCCGGACTAAGAAGTATTTAGAGAAGGTATCACTTTTTAAGATGAAATCATGCTTATCAAGGCCAGCTAAACTGACTCTAAATACCAAATAGTGCTGACCTGTCAAGAAACTAAATGAGTCCAATCTAGGAGAAATATGTTCATATCAAAGAGTGACAAGACAACAAAAGGTTAAGATTACACATGAGCCCATTCTTAGGAAATTGGAGATCAAGGCAATTCAACAGCACAAAATGGGTGAAAGTCAATCGATGGTTCAGGTATGTGCAACAGAAACCGACAACAACTGTATCAAAACAAATTAAAGTCCACAGAGTGGGCAAAAGAATAAGGGCACAATGCCATGTTGATTTGGAATTTATGAATCATTGCGGCATGACGACTTTACCCAACCTGCATTACATAAACTCTCCTATCTCCCTTCACGTAGACAAAACATGGCAATGGGTAAAGGTATGGGCTATGTGTCTGGCACACGATTACACGAACCCAAATTGAACACCCTGGTCCTTTACACGTGATGATTGAAGAAACAAAAGCTCAAATTTGATAGCAGAGGAGTTTCCTATCTATGATATAGATAGAAACTTTTTTTCCCCCCTACCACATGGCAGTCAATTTAACTCAATAGTTAGTATATTCTTAACGAACAACCACATCGAACATTACATTATTTACATAACACACAATGTATTTATATGCTTAGTACATGTTTCAATACCCATATCCAACTTTTGGACACATTTCCCTGTGTCTTAAGATTTGGGATCCCAGGAGGTTTAAACTTGGACACACCAGATACTCGCATCCGAAGTCCATGCAACATAGTATACAACTAAACAAACTTCAACAAAGGTGCATAGACACACACACACACACATCCAATATGCTAAAATTACAAACACAAACATATATAGTCATGTCCCAACAGGCCAACAAACATGAACTACCCTTTGGGAGTTTACTGATTTGACAACCCCCTAGTTGCCTACAATCGCGTGCAAGTCCAAAAATTATAGGACAGTAATGAGTTGAAGAAAAGGTCAAAAAAGAAAAATGTGAGTTGAGGCTATCAGGAAAAACATGGAGTCCCAGGATTCAGCAAATGAATATGGAAGTCAAGGAAAAAAAAAAAAAAAAAAAAAAAAAAAAAAAAAAACTAACTAACTAACAAACAGATTTATATAGTTTTTGGTATTGGGGAAAAAGCCTTTTGGAGTAACATTGATTCTTCACTGCACATAATAAGCAGATGACAAAGTCTTGAGACGTGGACAAGCTAATAGTTGAAACACAAGGGAAAGTCGGGAGATTAAATCTGAATAGCAGAAGCCATGTATGTGTCAACCCTGGAGGCCATATGAGTTCCCTGACGAAGTCTTCATAGTCGCTTCTAAAAAAACACAAAAGGAACTCTAGTGTAATTTTGTCACCATAAGAAAGGCTAAAGGTCCCGAAACATGGAAAACATTGAGAATTTCAGATATTTAATCCATACCGGTGGTCAGAATTAAAAGAGTGTGTGCTGTAGAGGGCAAATGTTCCTTCTGATTCCAACAGTGGGGAAATCCTTTTTAGGGTTTTCTGTCAAATTAACAGAGAAAATTCATCTTTACGAGTTTTCCAAAGAAATTTCAAATTAAGAAGAGAATTAGCTGATGCTAATCATTCACCCGACAAGCATGACGGACAGAGAGATCATCATCATGAAGATGCAGAACCAAGCGTGGTAGGTCACCATGTACCTGAGATCCGTAATCAAAATTCAAATAGTTATAGAGATAGTTAGAATGCAAAAATAAAATTAAGAAGCACCAGCAGCTTGCATATTTCTTTTTCTTCTTTCCAACTCTTGTTTGGATGTAAAAAACAAAAAATTAAAATTAAAATTTAACAAAAATAACTTATTCTTCAAATTTTGACAAGTTATTTTACATTCCCTAACCGATAAATTCAACCTCAACCTATATATAAATCTTTGTCAAACACTCAAAGAGTAAAAACAAAAAAATATTTTATTTTTCAGAAAAAATATTTTACGGAGTCCGGTTGTGTGCCAGTTATAAAAATGATACATATTTCAATTCAAGAAATTAGAAGTAAAAGTGTTTTTCTTTTTTATTTTTATTTTTTATTTTTTGGGTTTGGTTAAAGAGAAGTACAAGTTGATTCAACTAGGCGGCCTAACAAATAAGATGAACAACACGACATTCTAAGAAAATTAAGCGCGGACAAGATTATAAAATGTTAGAAGAACACACATGATCCTAATGAGGTCTGGTGGTTTGATGTGTTCTCCGGAAAATTTCTTCCACAAATGCCGTACTCGTGACCAAGTTGGTCTGAAAATCCACTACGTTTAAGAATTCACTAGGTTTTGTGGGAGAAAAAACTCAATTGTTACAAATGAGAAATGCTGTTCAAAAGTCTAAACATTTTCAATTATTTGTGGTGAAATAAATCCCTATAAATTTATCAACTATTAAAAGATCGTTTGGAAATCATGCAAATATCTTACCAAGTAACAAATTACAAACAAAGAAGATCCATAAAAGAAATTTGTGGTCCTAACATTTCTCAACCTTGTCATTTCAGTTAAAAAAAATTCAAATAACAATGGACATGCATTAATTCAAAATAACATGATATCTTCTCTCCAAAGAGCATTGAGTGTTCGAGTGGGCAATATTGAGGGGATTTGTATTTGCTTAAATTTTTAAAATAAAAATAAAAAATGCTATCTTCAAGTAAGAAAATAGAAATTTTGTGAATATTTTAGAAGTTTGGTTAGTAGGAAAAGAAATTTTTTGAGGAAAATTTACTTTTCATAACCACCTAATTTTTTCATAACTTTTCATATATATATATATATATATATATATATATATATATATAATTTTTAGAACGGTTTTACGAACTTGCATACCTTTTTTTTTTTTAGTAAGCTTGACGATGTTCAAAACATGGTTATTTTCTATAATTTTTTTCAAAGAAATTCATGCTAATCATAACCATATGGTGCCCGAGCCACGAATTTCATTCAATCCAAAATAAAATAATAAAATAAAATTGAATGATCAAAATATCTCGTGTTATTCACGAATAAGAATAATATTAACATTGTGCAACTATCAGTAATAAAAAGTATGAAATGGATGGTTGCATGTGATGTGACTGGTCTAATAAGTTATATATATCACTTTAAATACTTATAACTAATTGTCTATGATTTTTAGAGGAAAATAATTGATGTGGTTGTGCGTCTATTCAGAACCACATCAATTATTTTTCTCTTGTTTTTTTATTCAATTTTTTTTGAAGCCAAAATTCCGAAACTGGAAGAGGAAGTGAGGACCACTCCATTACCCGTGGGATTTTGAGTTCATATGAGTTGGTTGACACATAAAGTCATTATTACTGTACATAGTACCATGACAACGATAGGACGATAGGATTAATGTCCGGACCACCCATCGATAAAGTCCATGTTGCAAAATTGAGTGGACGGCCCAGTTTGGCCAAATAAACTCAAAACAAATTAATTGATGTTTTTAATTTTGACTATTATTTACGTGACGTTTTAGTAATGTGCAAAATAAAACAGTTTTTATCAAACTCATTTTTTCTGCTTTTCTTTCCATATCATTGAGGGTCTAACATATGCCATCTTTCCTAATACACTTTCCATTAGCCCTTATATTTTTAACATTAGAGACATTACAATAAATCAAATACCTCAACTCTATCTTAAATAGCTTAAAAATATTGTTGGTGTAAATTTTCTGCAACTCCATTTCAATGAAAATATCATTATTGTTGAATTGGATGAATTGAAAGATGCAAAAACATGCTTTACTTTCTTTCTCAACCTTGGTTTTTAAGGCATTGTCATAATACTTAAGGCAATGTTTGGTACGGTGGATTTGAAAGGGAAGAATAACATTAGTTATGAAGGAAATGGAAGGGAAGGATAATTTTAACCTCCTATTGTGTTTGGTTGATTAATGAAGGAAAGGGAAGGGAAGGATAATTTTAACCTCTTATTGTGTTTGTCAGAATTATTATTTGCTACAGTACCCGTCGGCAGAATCACTATTTCTACAGTCCCTCGACAAAACACTATTCATCTACAGTGTCGCCGCTGTCGGCATAAAAAGACAGGAACAGTGAACACTATTCATCTACTGTAAAAAGCAGAAACATCTCAATCAGGAAAGTCAGAAGCATCTTCTAAAGCCAAAAGTTATGCAGCAGAATCGGGGAAGTTGTCTCCAATAGTCCTTCAATGGTCCAGAAGCTTGGCTATAAATTCGAAAACCCTCCCATTGGATAGGCAGGCTCGATTCAGAGAGAGAATTCCGGTTTCGAGATATTTTCCATTGTAATATTTATTTCCTTTGTATTATTTTTATCATTCCGGATGGCAATACAGCACCAGTATGTTGTACACATCCAATATCTATCAGTAATTTTGTAAGTTAACTTCCATTTGTAATTTCCATTCCAGTATTGTAATTTGAATTATTATTTCAGTTAAACTATTATTAATTTGAATTATCTTATTCAGTTAAACTATTATTACTTTCTATGTAATTTGAATTATATATATATATATATATATATATATATAGTCTCATACCTGCATAAGAAAATGAAAAAAAAAAAATAGGGCAAATCATTTCAGCCTGCCGAATCTCGCCTCCATCTATATATATATATATATATATATATATATAGTCTCCTATACAAATGGGCCACAAGAAAAGAAAAAAAATTAGGGCAAATCATTTCAGCCTGCCCAATCTCACCTCCATCTCTCTCTCTTTCTCTCTGCACTACAAGAATCAGAAGTTTTTCAAAAAATCAAAACCCATATCTTTCAGTTTCCATCATCGTTGTTCCAGTTCGGGTTCGCGGTTCGCAAGCTTCAACCGCTGGCCGCCGTCTCTCATTCTCTCTGCAACTACTAACTTGTATGTATATTGTTTTATAAACTTGTGTAATCTTGAGGGTAAAATTGGCATCATAACTCCTCCATCAGCCACTGCCTTCACTTTCCTTCCATTTTCTCCCATTTTTGAGAGGATAAAAAAATCATTGTACAAGGCTATACATAACCCTCCAAAGCCTTCCCTCTCCTTTCCTTTCCTTCTACCCATTTTAGTCAAACACAATTTTTTAAACACCCTCCATCACCTTCCTTTCCCTTTCCTCCCATTTCCACTCTACCAAACTGACCCTAAAGGTGATCTTTGAGTGAACAACCTCATAAATAAATAAAAAGTATTCATGCTCTCACTTTGTTGAGTAGTTGACATTATAGTCTAAAAAGTACATTCCACAAATACTGTAAAATGGAATTGTTCACAAGAACATAGCGCTGAGAGGAAGAGCTAAACTTAACTTTCCCTTGCTTTTTAAGTAGAACGGTCATGGGAGCGCCTTGTTCGGCTTTTATTTTTGGTACTCTGTTTACCATATCTTTTTCATAAGGGTAAAGAACACTAACTGTCCCTGAGGTTTGCCAAAAGGATACCTTGTTCGGCTTTTATTTTTGGTACTCTGTTTACCATATCTTTTTCATAAGGGTAAAGAACACTAAGCGTCCCTGAGGGTTGCCAAAAGAATACATAAATGAAACTTATCCATTTTTTAGACAATGACACCCTCTTTATGAAATTCCATCCAAACAATGCCTTAAATCATATGAAAAGACAAAATTACCCCTCAATATTAAATTCAGATATATTACAAAATATTAGATTTTGCAAAATGACGCAATAGCCCCTTATTCATTTTTTCTCTTCTTCTCTTCCTATCACACCATCTATGCATCTCTCTCCTTATCTGTTAACATATATATATATATATATATATATATATATATATATATATATATATATGTTATACACATTACAACAACACCACCAGCACTAGCAGGCGCAAAGGTCGTCGGCCGCCGCTCCCACCATACCTCAGCCTCCCTCACCGCCACCACACCTACCCACACCGATCTATGGGCTCCATGGATTCCGGCAACCTTATCAATTCCGGTAGCGATCTGCAGATTGTCCTCACTGGTGAATCGATCAGCAAATTGTCTGCCCACATTTCACTACATTCCTCTTCCAAAGCCCGCTGGGTATCCACCGCCTCCTTTGCACTTCCTTTCTCTACCTTAAAAACCCATCTCTCTATGGATCAAGAACATGGTATTTCTCATACCCCAAATGGAAAAACTTTGACTTTTATTTTCGGTACTCTCTTTTCCATTTCTTTTTCATAATCATAAGGTCTCGTATCATCAAAAGTTTTATACTCCATTCATCCCAAAAATTTTGTCCATCTTTTTATTTTATAATGTCCCACCATACTTGTCTCATTCCAAAAATGGATAAACTATTTTTTTAGTATTACCAAACTATCCTTTTTGACATTGACTTCGTTAAACAACTATACTAATTACAGAGTATTCCTTTATCTTTTAGCAATGATGAATTAAAAAATTCACATTTCTCGGTGCAATAAAAAAATAATAAAAATTTACTGTCATAAAAAGTTAGATTCTCCAAACATCCCACAAAGTTTGGGGCAAAGGGAATAATTTGAATTACATATACAATACCTTTACTTTGAGAATGAGAGACTGTTACTTTGAAAATATAACACCCATTCATTCAAAGTTAAGGTCCCTATGATGCAACAACTTCACAGATAGCTTCTCACTGAAAACTCAATGCTTTAGGAGATATGCATGTTATATCTAATACAAGGCGGGACTTCCACCAAGACTTCCATCATGAGTTGGAGGTAGCAAGTTTAAAACAAAGCCGTCTCTCCTAAGGCTAAGGTATGACAAACCCTGCAATGACGAAAACTCATGCAATGGACTGGTTTTAACTGAGAATTAAACACCGCCTCTAGACATGTTGGAGTGGGAAAGGTTTAATGAGTAGAGACAGGACTTGATCCCGAGTTTCACAGTCTTGAACACCAAATCCATCTCCATTTTAGTAGATGAAATTCGCCACTCGTGCCGTGTTTGTAGTGTACTTTAAAAATGGTTTCAGTGACTCAGCTTTTGGAACACATTCATTATTTATTTTCTTCCATGCACTCTTTATTATGCTTCTAATGTGCTTCCGAGCTATCTCCTCATCAACATTAACTTCTCGCATGAAACATAAAATTGATGAAGCACTTCACCTTTCACTAGCTCAGCCTGTTAAAATTCAAATGCTCTGTCACGACTCATGATACTAAACTTTCTTAAATATATATATATATATATATATATATATATATATAAATATATATATAGTGAGATATTAATGTATTTTTGACAATTATCGTAGGCATAACAAGTTCAAATTGGATTGTAATTTAAATTACTTGTTCTACAAGTCATCAAGTTCGACAGGGACT